TTACACACCTCACGATACACGATCTATAACCACTTCTCTTTATCCCCTCCAGAGTTCAGCTTCCCACTTTGGGAAGAAAGTAACCGACATATATTGGTTTTACTGTCAACATGCCTTATCACATTTTATTTGCTTAAAAGGTAATTATGAGACCCCACAAGAATATTTCTATTAAACCATGGCCAAAGTACAGCCTTGTGTTCATAGCTAAAATATTTTTTCTTTTTTGCCTCTTAAGATCAAGAAATTGTTTTTTAATGGAAAGAACATAGACTTTGATGACTAGCTCGAATCTTTCCTTTACCACTTGGTGAGTTTTTAACATGGAAAAGTGGGTTAACTTTCCTGAGTCACATTTGTCCAGATAATTAAAATTAAAAAAAATAGCAGCACAACATTAACACAATTATCTGATTTTTTTGCATGCTTAGTAAGTGCCAGGTATTATTCTAGTTGTGTTTATACACTTTATGCCTTTTAATTCTTACAAGGCTTTGGCATACCAGGCACTGTCGTTCCCTCTTTACAGGCAGGAATCTGAAGACCAGAGAGGGTAAAGTAACAGGTCCGAGGTTGCCTAGCTCATAAATGATGGAACTGGCACTTAGACCCAGGCCTGTCTGGGCCAGTGCATCTGACCTCTCTACCGTCCTTCAGCTGTATGAAATAGGAATGATACTATTAATAATGTCCATCTTGTTTGATTTTTATGAGGATTAGAAATAATGTGTATGGAGCTCCTGGCAGAAAAGCTATTCCACAAGAGGCCCTGAACAAATGGTAATCATTGTTATTTTTTAAAAATCTCCATAAGTGAAACTGACATGCCAAGACAGATAAAAATGAGCACCTCAAAGGGAAAAGGTAGAATATGCATATTCTACTCCCTTCATTTTGTTTGTTGGTTTGTGTGTTTGCTTGGTTTTCTTCTTTTCTAGTAGACAGAGGTTCTATTTCAAAGAATGTGTCACATTGTTTCTTTGATGATGGCACAAATGATAATCAGAACATTGGTTGGAACAGCTAATGTACCATAGTAATACATCTCAAATTACAACAAAAGTTAATCTGTAAAATGAGAACTTTTAGCATTTTTATTTATTCAGGGTTTACTGTTATCTAGAGAGCTTTGTTAAACTCAGAATTCCTGTATTTGTGATTTTGTTTTAAATTCAGGACTGTAGGAGGAAGGATAATGGTGCTAACTTTGAATATTAACTAGCTATTAGTTTTCCATGAAGCTTTTTTTAAAAAAATTATTTATTTATTTATTTTTGGCTGCATTGGGTCTTCGTTGCTGCACCCGGGCTTTCTCTAGCTGCACAGCGAGCGGGGGCTGCTCTCCGTTGTGGTGCGCGGGCTTCTCGTTCCGGTGGCTTCTCTTCTTGTGGAGCATGGGCTCTAGGCACGCGAGCTTCAGTCCTTGTGGCACGCGGGCTCAGTAGTTGTGGCGTGCAGGCTCTAGAGTGCCGGCTCAGTAGTTGTGATGCACGGGCTTCGTTGCTTCGCGGCATGTGGGATCTTCCCGGACCAGGGATCGAACCCATGTCCCCAGCATTGGCAGTCGGATTCTTAACCACTGTGCCACCAGGGAAGCCCTTCCCTGAAGCTTTTATTAAACAAATAGTTCACTTAAAGGGCTGTAGCCTTTGAGCTTGAGCCAAGTTTCCCCATTTCCAATTTTGCAACAAAAATTTCACACTTCTTTAGTTACTCTCGTGGCAGGAACTGGAATGCCAAAGGTCACCTTGATCTCAGATACCTTATCAGAAGAAAACTAAGTGTAGATTTTTGTTTCCCTTTAGTCTTTCCTCATGTTTCCTTGACAGAGTCACTTCAATACACTACAGTACAAGCTGCAGTTTGGGATTTGTATTTCATTTTCCATTGGACTGATTTTCTTGTGTTAGTCATTTGAGGATATCTGGGGTGTTTGTTATTGTTCTGTTAAATTAAAAGCTATTTTCTTTAACAAATGTGTAAGTCATCTTTCTGTTTACCTAGGGTATGATAATTAAAATTAAGTGGATGTGAGCTTTTCTTATTGAATTTAGTATGTCTATTAAGTACCTTCTTGCAACCCGTACTTTCAAGTCCTTTGAGAGATTGGGAAAATAGTTGACTGAAATAAAATAATGAGGCAGCTTACTGGTCATCCAGGTTACTAAAAATTAAAGCATTAAGGATAAACTGAAGTGATCACTCTGTTTTCACAAATATCATCCTATACTTGCACCAAGATTTTTAAAGAAAGTAACCATTAAGTAGTAGAAAATAAAGAGTAATTGATAGTTGCCTCTCTTGAGCAGTTGCTTTGACCATTCCATTATTGAATTTTCTTATAACTAAAATGTGGGGGACAGGTTTGAGCTAAATCTTTGATTCCTTCTACTTTAAAAAATATAATAGTTCTATGTGATATTTATTTATATAAACAAATATATAGAGCACTTACATTAAAACTAACTTCCGAATGAGAAAGATGAAGTATATGAATTAAGAGGGAATAACATTGTACCTGTTCAGTTATAATATGAAGAAACTTTATAACGTATACAGAAATTGCCTTTTTTAAGAAGCTATAAACAATGTTCAATTTCTTGTTAACAAAGGCTTTCACCTTATCTAAAGAATCTTAATTTGGCTACACCAGAAAAATAGAAATTGTGTGGTATGATGTAGCCTAAAAACTTTTTTAACCCCATAGATATTCTTTTTCATGCAGGCAATATTTCTGAATTTGGGATAAGTGTGCTTATTCTCAGATCTTTGTGCTTGATCATAATTTACAGTCCAAGTAGCCTCCTTATACGAGCAAAATTACCAAAGATTTGTCTTTACCTCCCAAAAGAGGTATCAAATAATTCTACCCAAATCTGGGAAAAAGGTGAATCTTGTTAGGTGCCATCAAATGGTATGTATTCGATGTACTTATATAATAATTATACCTACATGTTTAAGGGTAATGTAGTAGAATATGTAATTAAAATTATATATTATCCTAAAAGAATTTATTTTGATTGTTTTAAAGTAGAAGGTGATTTAATAATATGGGAGAGTTTATTTTCAGTTTTATAGTAAATATATTGATTTCTGAAATTTGGGAGTAATACATAGTATACTTAGCTTGTATTAATACTGACTGACCGGGAACCTGTCAGAATAATAGTCTGTAGGTATATCATAGTTGTTTGTGCTCATTCTGTCATTAGAATGAGATGATCTAATTTTCAGTTTCCCCTTTCCCTAGAAGGTAATATTTTTTTCATCTTTTAGCCTAATCTCAAGACCTCTAATACATTTAGTAGTATTTTCCAAACTGTTGGTCAGTTGTATAATTCTCAAGGAAATACCGGGTTTTGCTTGATAAACTTAGAGTATTGATGGGCTTTGGGATTCCTGGCTTATGTTTTATTCTTTATCCCTAAAAGATACTTGAAAAAGTTTTCCCCTTATCGTAAGCCCTGTAGAAATAGAAGCAAGTAGCTGTTTACACATTTAAAATATGACCCAATGCAGCCAAAAATAAATAAATAAAATAATTAGAAAAAAAAAATATGACTAAAATTTAAAAATCAAATGAAATCTAGCCCAGGAAAAATATAGGGCTTAGATTCTTTCATGACTTAGGAAGAATCCTTGTTTTGTAAAGTGTGCAAGGGTTTTTCTGGTTTATTTCTGTTTTGTTCAGTCTCCAGGACCTCCCAACTTCAAGGGCACTGTGGGGCAGATGTAGCATTTATTTGATGTATGCATGTGTATGCATATTTTCCCGCATCTGTCTCTGTGGCCCTATCCTTTGTGAAATCCTAGACCTTGTATTAGTGCCTAGTTCGTGATTCTTGGTGTTCTGAGAACAATTATATAATTTTTCTCAGGGTGTTTATTCCATGTGTGCTGTGAAAAAAAAAAAAAATGGGAGTTATTTTTTGGTAACCCTGCAGTTGCCTTTTTATTGGTGGATTTCTTTTTTCATTTCCTGTGACCTGTGAATATCACCAGAGGTTCACTGCCAGTTTTGTGAGCCGCCCGCTTCAAACTGGAGGCAGGAAGGTATCCATTTTCATCAAGAGGATGACGGTGTTTCAGTCTCTCCGACCATCTGGAGAGAGGAACTTTTGGAGCAAAAGGGAACGGGGATTAAAAAAAAATTATATTTAGCAGAAAAGGCAAGGGGGAAACCCAGTTGAAAGTTAAACTGTACCTTATGAATTTACTCTTTTCTACTGTGCTGTCTTCTTTAAAGCAAACACAAACAAGAAAATACACAAGCTATTTTTATAAAGGACTGGTTCCCCAAGTCTCCTGAGTATTAATAAACGAATGTAAGTAAATTAGGATTTTGGCAGTTTTTAAGTTTATTGAACATACAGAGATAATCGCTATAAATGAGGGTTTTCCTCCCCTTTCCTGTGTACACACTGATTGTCAGGGGCCTGTGTAGATCTGGGCTTTTAATGACCCTTTTCACGCATCTCTACAAAAAGCTAACACTATGGGAATTTAATATTCCAAGATCTGTGTGTCACTTTCTGAGATCTGGAGAGTGCATTCATTTTATCTGTCTTTTTTGTCTCTCTGTCTCTCTTTCAATTTTAATTGAAAGGTAGACAAAATGGGAGAAGCTTGAGGCAGGTGTTTCTCTTTTTACCTTTTACGTGCTCATGGGCCATTTGTGTTTAAAAAAAAAAAAAAGAATGCTTAGGCTCCCAGGACAACCCTATGCGTATTATATAATATATTTGCAACCAGACCTAGTTCTCAATATTCTTGCCCATAACTGGAAAATATCACACCTGGTTTTCCATTCACACAAACCTACTCGGCCTTTTTTTTGATTTTCTGTATTCGGAAAGGGGCAGTGTTTCCAGGGTTTGGTCAGATCTAGGATGGACGTGGTAGAAATTTTGCCTTTTGTGCCTGCTTCTTGTAAAGTCATGGACCTTGAGATGCTTTGGTCCAGGCAGCAAAGCAAAACTAAATGGCCTCTTGTTCCCCAGGTTTATGCTCCGTCAGCCAGCACTGCCGACTACAACAGGGACTCGCCAGGCTACCCTTCCTCCAAACCAGCAGCCAGCACTTTCCCTAGTTCCTTCTTCATGCAAGGTAAGACACCACCTCTTCCGAGGGGAAATCCATGGGTCTTTTCATGTCATATATGGGACAGAAGAGTGCTGATCTGTTACTCAAGAAATGGAGTAGGAGGCAAGTATAGAACACTGAAGGTCACGCTCTGTTTTAGGAATTGAATTCATTAAAAATAAATTAATTAAAACTTCACTAAGACATTTTGTAAGTGAAAGCCACTTGAGAGATCATGAGTTAAGATTAGACTGGTTTGCTTACTTAGAACGGATTCTTCCTGGGGGATGGTCTTCCACGACTGATCATTTCTGTGTCTTCACTTCCCGAGAAGAGTATGTTTGTATGTTTAGAAGAGCTTTGGTTCAGTGTGTATTTTAAGCATCCCGGATTTAGCCTCCTAGGAACAAATTACCCTCATATATACCTTTATATAAAAATGTTGGACACTTACAATCACTTTTCGGCCTTTTGGCTAAGATCAAGTTTAGTATCTGTTCTTATCAGTAAAAACGTTGGCCACTTATTAATTTATAGGTGAGAACAAGTGTCCCATTGAAGACGAAGTGACCTATCTGAAGTCAGGAATATTATTTCATTACACAGCAAAAGCTCTATTCCAACATACTGACGGATTGGGGGCCCAAGACCCAGCTTTTTTCCCAGAAAAATATAGAAAATTACAGGTTCGTGGTAGATAAAGTATATTTAATCCATTTAATTGTCCAGTGTATTTAATTCAGTGCACATGGATGTGTGTTCCCCGAGCTTATAATCTCATCCCTGGTGATACAGCTCTTTCTGCTGCTTAGAAAAGACCAAGATGGTTGAAATGACAGCAGCTGCTTATGAGAGGAGACCGTCCAGAGGATGCAGCTAAGGCTCCATTCCCTATACCCCTGGGACACTTATTGTCAAAATGTGATGATCTCGTTTCCAGGTTAATACTCTGAAATTCAGATGTGGGACTCACCAAGAACCCCTGTATGCAAACTTCACTCTTTTTGCGTTGGCAAAGTGCCATGGGATTTCGTTCTTCGAGCTCCTCCCGGAAGGACCATGCCACGGGAAGGGGAGCCACTTGGGGCAGCAAGTCCCAGGGAGGTGGCTTGGCATCTCCCTTAGATTACAGTGAACATACCCAAAGTCATTCTGTTTCAAAGGGGTTTGTTTCCTTTCCCTTCAGAGTGTTAGCTCTTTTGAGTTGTTAGTTCACATGTGAAATTCCATGGAAAATCTATAAAATTGAATCGAATGGGTCCCTCGGGAATAGAGAGAATTGGTTCCACACGTCATGGAGCTCCTGTTGACCAGGGTCTTTTATCTTTGTGACCTGTCCTCGATGTCCCTTTCTCTCCAGGGGAACAGCAGGTATGTCACTTGGGTGTGTTCTGTGCCATGACAAAAGGTGTATCCCCTTTAGCTATGGATAGCAGCCACTTGTGCACCAGCGCCTCTCTTTTATGACCAGTCAGAGAGAGTGTGCTACCACTACCGGTGCTTATAGAGATTGCCAGCTCAAGGACTCATCACTCAAAGCTGAATTTCATTGAGAAAATTGACAGAAGGATAGATTTCTTCTGTCTGCCTTCAGGAAGGTCACTTGCTTAAACCGCGCACACTGCAAGGAAAGATCAGGTTGAGTAAAGCAGTAGGCTCTTCTCCGTAGCAGACCACGCAAAACAAACTACGGGGAACAAATTTGCTTTTCTGCATATGAATACCCAAGAAGCAAAAAAAAAAAAAAAAAAAAAAAAAAAAAAATCCATACAGACACAGGAAGTAAGAAATAGGTTTGAGCGTCTCTCAAGTCTGCCAAGCTAACAGGAGACTCCACTGGAGGTGCCCAGGAAAGCTATGATGTGCAGGTGTTAAAGACGCATGGAGAGAAAGACACAATGTGACGTCTCTGGATAATCACAGCTGTTCCTGAAGAACCCGGCTTCTTGGCCCATGGGTAACCAAAACTCATTTTTCAGGGCCTGAATAATTAACCACTAAAATCAAGGAGGAACAGAAATACATTTACTGGACTCAAAGATGTAACTGTGAGAATGTAAAATATATGCAGACTCACAAACACATGCATTTTCTCCACTTGTGCAGACTTGGCTGGGGACAACCAACCACCAGCTAGCCAGAGTTTAGTTCCAATTCTCTCTGAGCCATGAAATGCCTCGAGGAGATGGGAGACTTCGTCTGATGGGCTTGCATTCCAAATGACTCTGGTGAAGCCTGTGGTGTCTCGCTGAGCCAAAGGTGGAGCCAAGGTAAACAGAAGAGAAGACAAGCCAGGAAAACAAGATGGCGGGGAGGCCTAACCCATTAAAACACAGCCATAAAAAACATCGAGACACAGAATTCCCCATGAGTCACCAGTGGGCTGGTAAGATGCTGCCCACTTGCTGCCAAGGCAATCCAAAAGACATCCCACAGACTTTGCCATACAACAATGGAGACCCACCAGGTCTTTGTAGGACTTGCTAGAAGTCCATTCTATATCCTTTATAATATACAGCCATGTGAAAAATGGCTGTTCTCCCACTGTTCACCAACTTTCCATTAAAATAAAACCCAAAAAAAAAAAAAAAAAAAAAAAAAAAAAAAAAAATGTTTTTTGAGTTGACATTTATGATGAGCACAATTAATTTGCACACATCTAATTCTATTCTTTCAAACCCACATTATGCCAAGATCATGGGATGTGATAAATATTAATTTACTGTGAAAAGCATAATTTATGTAAAATGTGTATTTTTGTAAGTCTGCATTGAGTAGAGTGTCTGTGTTAACAAATCCTAAATGTATTTCCTTGTAGGGCATCATGTCAGAATGTTTCAGGAGACTCTTGTTCAATGATAGAGATTCTCAATTCATTTGCCATGCGTGTCATCTCTTTGAAATGTCAGTGGTCTTAAACTTGTTCGAATTTAAGATGACATCTGAACTTCCACAATCTCAGAGCTAAATCTGCAGTACATGAAAAAGAACTTTTAAAAAAAGTCCTATGTTTTTACGTTACAATCACAGAAACAGTGCGTCGTGATCCCATTTCACATCAGTGTCCTTCAGTAAGGGTCCACAGTGCCCTGAGAATTCAGGTCTTGAAGAAAATACAGTTTAGATGAAAGATATTCAGAGACTGTCAGTAGCATCTTCTATTTTATTTTATTTTAGTAGCGTATTTTAAACCCACTATTGTGTGACCTCTTATTTTTAACTTTAGCTTCCACCTTCTAGTTAAAACCCTTTAGTTGTCAAAATCACAGACATGATTTTGCTTTCATAGTTCTTAAGACATCTCTGGATTATTCCTTCCTGCCCTGAAACCATTCCAGTTTTCTGAATTCTAACTTCTGGGGTAAAAAACTCAGGGAAAAAAAGGCTTTACGAAATAATAGTGTCAGATTTAACTTGCCTCCTGCCTACATTTTCAAAAGGCCTTTATTAAATAACGTGTAAGGTGAAAATAGTCTTATTTTCAAGGGAGCAATGCCTGCCATACAATTAACACCCAGCTGATGGCCTTGTATATATCTGGCATTTAATAATGTTTGTTAAACTATTGAAAGAAAGAAAAATTGAACTGAGCAGTAACATAGATGCTCTGCTCCCTTAATTTGAGAAACCCAGACCAAACAATAGCAATCTAGTAGTAACTTCGAGGCCAGTAGGTCCAGAGAGTAAAAAAAAAAATGTAGGAATATTTTTAATATGGTGTTAATAAAAGATTAGCTTGGTATTAAAAGATACTTCATGTAATTTCCATATAATTTTAAACCTCTTTTGAACTCACAGTTTTATAAAATCCAGAGGCTCTCAAAATTGTCCTTACCGCAGTATCTACCTTATGACATGTGTGTACCCTTTCAATTGCTACTGAAGGCTTAAGATAGCTATTTAACTATATACCAAAATACAAACATTTAAAAAGAAGTCAAAAACTCAGAACTATATTCATGAGATTCCTCTTCCCTACATACCAGAATGTAATTCCAACTTTAATTCCATCTACTCTGTATGTGTATGTCACAAAAATGAAATCCAATCTGAAATCAGATATTCTTTTTCATTATTACTTATTTCTTTATATGCTCTCAAAACTTGTAAGCTTGCCAACCCTGTAATATCTCGTGTTTTAATTTCACCCCAAAATTGAGGAGCAGTTTAATTTTTTAGTTGGTTTTCATAGAAAAAAAAAAAAGGAGACTTCTAAGAAATGTTTTCTTTAGCATTAGCCACCTTGCTGTCTTGACAAAGTTCTATGTAGAAATATGTTCTGTTCTTTTACAGTTAAATTTTTACTAAGAACCCTTTAACTCTGTTAAATATTTATATTTGTTTGGCAATATAGAGCCACTTGGGAAGAAATAATGAGACTGTCTTCTGATATAATCAGCTCACCAACACAAAGATGAATATACAACAGGCAGTCATTTTCCAGGATATGAAAACACCCTACTCTATAAGGCAAGGCTGAATGCCTCAGAAAAGTCATGGTTTTCTTTGTCCTTTACAGATGGCCATCACAGCAGTGACCCTTGGAGCTCCTCCAGTGGGATGAATCAGCCTGGCTATGGAGGAATGTTGGGCAATTCTTCTCATATTCCACAGTCTAGCAGCTACTGCAGCCTGCATCCACATGAACGTTTGGTAAGGCAGACTCACTTGGTAATGGGGACAACACAGCTAGTTTATTAAATCTCATCCTGTCTTTGCATGCATGTACACATGGACTCTATCAATGAATGTAAAACTGGCACATACCCGTTATTCTTACAGTTGTATCGTTTCTGCAATCAAAGACATAAACTCAATCAGATCAGCTTCATAAGCCATATTCTCTTTGTCACTGTTCTTCTGATTATTGCGTTTTGTTCTGTGCTTTCTTTATCACAGTGTCATCTTCCCTTGGTACATAAATACATATTGTATTTGAGTTGCAGAATTTTAGCTGTGGCGGTTCCTTGGGGGGTTTTTTTTGTTTGTTTTTTGGTTCTTTTTGGGTTTTGGTTTTGGGTGGGGTTTTTTGCTATCTGTAGTACTGAAGGATATACTGCAGGGGGCAGAGTGATAGCCAGTGGACTTTGAAAGTAGGTGATAACACATCTCCCACGGGCATTTCCATTTCCCCTTGACCGGCTTCTGTAGCTGGTGACAGCTTTGAACTCTTGTACCACAGCTGAAGGAAAGCGTTCATGTTCCCTATACACTCCCATCAGTAACAGCAACCATGGGGCTTCTATTTAGATCAGATTCCCAATTTTCGGTATTTTAGCTATACTTCCATACCCTCCAATACTATACTCATCCATCCTAGTATGTGTCTTTATTCTGGAGGAAGTAACGCATCAGATGTTTTTCTAACCTCAAAAACTACCACAGCCCAGAACCCACTGATGAACTTAAGTCTATCACTAAATGGAGGAAAGAGTACTTCTAGATCGTGAAGGTTTGGCACCAAGTATCTTGCGCAGTAAAATGGCTTTTAAAAAGGTATGAACCTCTAATCTTCTAAATGCAAAAAAGTATGAAAAATCCGGTTAGTGGTACTTATATTACTACTCTCCATCTTGCGATGTGCTCCTTTTTCTTCTAATACCCAGATTTATGTTTCTTTCTCTGTTCTAATATAGGAGATAGTACTTTCTGGATTTCTGTGGTCTTTATTCTCTTTTGCTCGGCCACCAGAGATATTGAAAAGGTGACATATCCTCTTCTGATGACCGAAAACATCCCAGAGGTTAAGACTTCCGATATCCTTTCAAATATCAATTTAGTTAGTCCTAGTGACAGAGACACTGGGAGGTCAGTTAGCTTATCCTCAAATGAGAGATAAATGATGGAGATGGAATTGACTTTTTTTTTAATCATCTCTCAAGTTTGAATGTGGAAATCACAAACTGTCTTAAATTTCAGCACATTTTCAATAAATAGCAGATGATTTACTTTCAGATTTCTTTCTCCCACCTCCTACTTAGAGTCATTAGCATGAAAGCTTAAAGAAATAGCACTTATTATTATACTAGAATTTCTTCTTGGCTAACATTTTTATTTCGCCATCATCATTTTGCACTTCTCTAAAGAGCCCATGATCAAAACTGTACGTGTCCTATAGGCAAGGAAAGTTTTGATTACAAATAAAAGACTTCGGCACTGTACTATATGTTGGAATTTCCATTTGACATTTACTTTTCTTCGCTCCTGTATTTCTTTCTTCCTTTATCATGCCCTAGAACTTCGACTTAGGTGGTTTGATTCTTATCCCAGTCGAGTTCACTGCATGGGGGAAGCATGTTGAAAATGCGCTCAAATGCACAGAAAATGTAATTTTAAAAAGGAAACCAACTACACCCTTTTAAAAAGTTTGCTGAACCAAAACGATATTATCAACCAGGAGGAAAGATCATTTTGAAGGAGTAACCCAATAGGTTGTATCAGGTGCTATATTTGTAATGTCATTTATCCATCTCAAAACAGTTTTCATTCTTAACATGATCATTTAGCAGATCTTAGAGGTGAGGGGTTTTGTTTTTCAGAAGGGCAAATGAATTAGGTTTCTGGTAATGTATCCTGATGAATTTTCTCACTGATAGGGAAACTATTGAATGATTATATCTAGTAATCATTGTGATTTCAGTAACTATTCAAAATTCTCTTGCTGAGGTGACTTCTAAAAATCTGATACTGATTGAGAATCATTTGAGTATACAGTGAGTGGTTAGTTACCTTTCATTTAAAAGTAATGGTAGTTCCTTAAAATTTTCATCTGGAGGGCTTCCCTGGTGGCGCAGTGGTTGAGAGTCCGCCTTCTGATGCAGGGGATGCGGGTTCGTGCCTCGGTCCGGGAAGATCCCACATGCCGCGGAGCAGCTGGGCCCTTGAGGCCGCTGAGCTGAGCCTGCACGTCCGGAGCCTGTGCTCCGCAACGGGAGAGGCCACAACAGTGAGAGGCCCACGTACCGGAAAAAAA